TATGTGCGAGAAGGAACAGGTGGCACCTCTCACCTATTCTCCTCAAAAGTAGTAATAGGCCACTAAGAAATGCCTTAAAATTTATCTTCTAAAGGTTTGCTCAAGCTCCTCATTGCTCATCGTTGAGTGCATGGTGAATGGCATGTTCGAGTTATTAACAAATTTTACACGATAAAATCTCACCAACTACTAAAAAGGGCAGAATGTCTGATGGTTAAAGTAGGGGTTATGATTGTTTCATCAGGGTAATGTAGTGTTCTATTTTAGTAATGTAAACCTATGATTTTGATGGTTTTTATTAGTTGTTTTCCTGATTTTAAATTACAAACAGAAATGATCAGTGTCCATTTTGTAATTTTTATTCTGTATCTAAAATTACCTTTTAACTACCTTTTCAACTTCAAAATAATCCTCAGTCAAAGGTGATGGTGTGAGAAAATACATTACCCTATTTCCTAGACTATATAAGCAGAATGGTGATATAGTAACATATTGTCGCGAGACGCAAGGCGAACGGATGTGTATGCGAGCAGTGTTGACTAATTATTATGTATAAACAATTTTTTATAATAATATGAAAAATCAAATGGAGATAAAATGTACAGGGTGCAATGAGTTGATTTTTGATATTTTATGCATAGAGTGTTCGCAAAAAACATGTAGGTAAGTGTATCATAATATGTGCATGTATCAATAATGGCAAAGCAGTACCAAAATTTTACTGAAGAAGAGAAATGTAAATGGGTTTGACCAGAATGCCGGTGTAATATCCCGAAAGGAGACAACACCAATACACCGATTCGCGGAGTTTGGCTAAAGGACAAATTGTTTTCGCTGTCTTTTTATTTGAACAAAAAATGAAGAGATTATCACAATTAGAGCGAAGTATGTAATGATAGTAGGATTATAGGAATTCCGCATGGAAATGATTTCTTGGCTTAACAATCAGCTAAAGAAATATAAACAGCTAGAAAAAGATTTATTAATACAGAAACAGAGCTGCGGGAATTAAAAAACCATTATGAAAGTAGTGCAACAAAAAGCAAATAAGGTGGATGAAAGTACTTACACAAAGAAATGAACATTTGGAAACTACTTTAAGAGTAAAAAATACTGCAAAAGAAACATTACATACAAATGTGGAGCAATTAGTGTCATTTGCTAATACAGCGAAGCAGAATAAAAATACGGTAGATAAAAATAACGGGCCCAATAAGGAGGGGGTAGCCGCAAAATCACCATCTCATTGTAATAATAGTACAGTATCAATAAGTGTAAAAACGCCAGCTCAAATAATTTTAATAATGAATCCATGAAAGATGGTGTAGCCACGAAATTGGCAGGATTATCTAGTGTTGATAAATGCTCAGTTACAATTAATGAAAAACAAGTTAATTTGGTGTCAGTAAATTCAACCAAAAACGCGAAAGACACATTAGAAAAAAAGGAAAACTGGACAGTTGTAAAAAGAAAAAACAATAGGTATCCTAATAATGAGGTAAAAAGAAGAGGTAAAAATACATACATATAAATATACAAGGGATTGAATGTAAGAAATATTTACATGTCTAGCATCTGAAGAAGAAAACTATGAGAAAAAGCATAGAAAAACATGTTAAGAACATATGTGGGGCTGAAGTTCAAGTTCAGGTTGAACAAATTAAACATAAGACTGAATGGGATTATGCTTCGTTTATATTAGGGGTTCCAGAAAGTTACTATAAAAAGATATTTTTACCAGAAAATTGGGCATTAAATATTGAATTTTGTGAATGGGTGTGGTTTCGTCGATACACCAAAAAACCAAAAAAGGCTTAGGAGAAATGTTGAATTTTTTTACCAGAATGTAAGTGGACTGAGAACGAAATTAGACGAATTCTGGGTGGCCGTTGCTAGCTCGAGTTCCGATTTGTTTGGTGTTACGGAAACCGGATTTAGTGAATCTATTCAAGACTCTAAACTTATCCTACCTGGATACAAAATGTTAAGATACGATCACGTAGTAGGATGGAAATAAGGCGGCGCTTGTCTAGTGGGCACACCGCGCTTCGAACTGCAGTTTGTACCAATATCGAGTGATGTCAACATAGATTGTCGGGTGTTTGAACTGGTTTGTGCAAGAGTATATTTAAGAGGAAGTTTTATATTTTTATATGCGTTGTTTACATTCCGCCAGGTAGTTGTAATAACAAATATATGTTATTATTTAGAATAATGCTCCGAGATTTTAAGTTGTATTCATGCTCCACTGCTATATGTAATTACTATGAACATTTTGTGACACATTCTCAATTTTCTCAGAGCAATAGAATAAGTAATATACTAACTAATAGGAAATAATTATAATAAACGAGAACATTTAATGGCAAGAAATCGGTGAGGGTGTATGCTGCTGATTTGGGAGCTTGTGCCGGTGGATGCGCACCACCCCCCGCTTGAGGTAACAGTGTGGTTTTGCCGCATCCGCCGCAGACGAAACCACTGTCTCGCAGGGCTCCATTGACAGCAAATGCTACGAGAAACCCACTTGGAAGCTTAGCAATGCTAACTTTCCTCTCTTGTATAAAACTATAGACGAAATAGACTAGTCTCCAACATGTGGTCTAGATTTAGAAGCAAGCCTTGACTTTTCTTATTGTACTATAAATAATATATTAGATAATTGCGTACCTAGGAAAAAATTAAGTAAGGTAAGGTCGAAGTATATTTATCCCGAGTGGTACACAACTGAGATAATACACGAGTTAAACTTAAAAACAGATCGCTATAAGAGGTATAAGATGAGTAAATCACCAAACGATTATGAACTATTTTCTCAGTGTCGAGCGAGAGTTAAAAAAATAATAAGACTTACGTAGGAGCAACATCAGCGTCACGACCAAAACCATCTCGTAGAAGATCCAAAAGCCTTTTGGAATTAAATACGGTCCAAAAGAGGCTGCCTTAACAAAAAACAAATTTTGGAAAATGGACAAGTATCGAGTGGTAAGCAATGTGTAGAATATGTGTTTGCTTAGCACTTACCTGCGGTGTATAGGACGGAACAACCCCATGTACGGGTCACCGAGGCAATAATAGCGGCTGTTGGTGTTAACGCAGCGACGCGGGTGCATATTGCGTGCGAAAATCTGAGTCTTCAGGATGTGCAATGCGCCTTGCAAAAGTTGAAACCAAAGAGGTCTGCAGGACCAGATGGCATTCCGCCGTATATACTCAGGGACTGCCGTTTCGTGTTAACTAAGTCGTTAATGTACATATATTCCAAATGCCTGGATAATGCTATTTTTCCCGATAAATAGAAAACCACATGGGTTGTTCCTGTTCTAAAAGGAAAAGTAGGATCGCAGGTGGACAAATATCGACCTGCGGCCTTGCTTTCATCAGCAGCTAAAGCTTTTGAGTCAGTCACGTACGACAAAATATTTGTGCAAGTGAATCAGCAGCTCTCTGAAACAAAGCATGGGTTTTGACCCATGAAAAGTACCACTAGCAACCTTCTTAGCTACATGGCTGAAGTAGTGCCCGCAGTGGATATGGAGGTGAAAGTCGACGCCGCTTACTTTGACCTTTAAAAAGTGTATGACTTAGTGGATAACGGCTTCACTCCACATTTGTTAAAATTATTTGCCAGCTATATGAAAGGTAGAAAGCGGTACGTGGAATAATAGGAATCTGGAGTAAGGCAGGGCAGTAATTTAGGGCCACTTTAGTTTTTATTACTAGATAATGATTTGCCTGAGGTAGTTAAGGAATCTAAGTGCCTTCTTTTTGCTGATGACCTCAAGTTGTATCATGTCGTAGAAACATTGTCAGACTGTGAAAAGCTACAACAAGACGTAAACAGAGTAGTGGCATGGAGCAAAAGTGAGCAAGTGTGTTACCATTTCATTGACTAGAAAATGCACGCTCATTGAATATAACTATGAAGTGGTTGGTTCGCCAATGGAAAGATTTAAAGAAGTTAAAGATCTAGGCGTTTGGTTAAATAGTGAATTATCATTTAGGGAACACATTCTCTATTGCTAAAAAAAGCGTATAGAAACTTGGGCTTCATTTTTCGCACAGTTCACGGTTTTACTAACATTAATCATTACTTTGTATACTGAGAAGAAGTAATCTGGAGTGTAACGCCGTAATATGGTCGCCACACGAAAATAGGTACGAGTATAGTACAATGCTAGAATGTGTGCAAAATAAATTTTTTAGATACCTATCTATGCGCTATTATGGAGTCTACTCTATGTACCCATTAATGTACCCAACTTTATTTATTCTGGGTATGGTTGACTACAACGAGTTGAGGGTAAGACGAGACCTCGCATTAGTCTTATATATTTTTAAAGTGCTTAGAGAAAAAATATATAATAGTGGCATATTGGGGCTGATTGGGCTGTGCGTTCCAGAAGGGTACGTATGGAAACGGCGGCGGCCGCGTATGCTCTCCGTGCCTAATTTACTAGATAAAGCACCTTTAATGCAAACGTTACGCATTCTTAATAGAATGGCTAAAGATTTATGACATATTCTGTTGCTCCTTGAGTGAATTTACTAGGGTAGGATTGTTTACAATTTGTTACAATTAATTTCTACATTTTTGTTAAGCATAAGGAGAACTACACTTGTCGCATTAGGTTAGTTTCAATAAATAAATAAATAAAACATTATAGTCATATCACCAATTCGAAGATCAAACTTCTAAAAATTGATATGGTGCATAAATTCATTGTGGGAAACCTATTGAACAAGTTATAAAGAAATAAAATCTAAATACTTAACATTGCCAAAATTACTAATTTTGTGAGTCCATAAAGAATTACTAATTTTGTGAGTCCATAACCAGAGAAGTAAATTTATATGGTACACTATTTACTGGAATATCTAATTAGAGGATATACATTTTGCTGTCCACTACTTCCTTGAAACAGCCTAAAACATTTCCCTTTAAATAAAATTTATTTGATTGTTTATAAGCTAATAAACCAAAACAATTTTTTTTTCAGTCATTTGTCAAGAATGTATCATCTACAGTATCATCCCTATTGCCCTCTTCCATCAAAAAGTGGTTCAGTAGTCCCAGTACATCCAATACCAATGGTTCTGCTCAAGTAGCTGATGCAACAGATTCGTCTTCTGAAGATGAGGTACCTGAAAGTCCTACAATATTATCTCAGCCACCTACAAAGAGGATGCGTTATAACTCACCTGGAAAATTAAATGACTTTGGGGAATCTGATGTAAGATATATATTTTAAAACATTGATGATATATTTTAAAACATTTTTTTAATCTTATGAAATTAATTTTTATCTAATTATAGGTGAACAGTACAGCAAGTAATGTTGTTTCTTTAGAAACATATTCAGCTCTACAATCCCATCCTAGTAGAACAACATTCAGAAGAGAACCTGATTATGTATCTACTCGTATTCATTCTACAGTTAGTGAATTAACCAATGAGAAAAATGAACAAGATTCAACTGTTTTCAAACCACAGCATTCTCTTACAACTGTAGGTCCTTCAGTTGCTAGAAAAAGACAGTCTCTTTTTGACATGCTAAATAATGACTCATCAAAAAAAGCTTCAAAAGAAGGTGAGTTATATATCTATAGTAAGATCGGCAAGACTGGAAAAAGAATGTAAACAATCATTTAGGGATGTATATATGTCTATAAGTTAATTTACTTAGCTAATCACATTTATTTTATTATTGGTAATTTAAAATAAACTATCTTTAGTGTTTGTCGTCGCCTGTTCATACAAGTGTTATGATTATACTCTACCAAATCTAAAAATACCTTTTGACATTTCATATTAATCATTCTGCAATAACTGTACAAGGATACTTCACATGATTATACTCAACCAACTGTAAAAAATACCTTTTGACATTTCATATTAATCACTCTGCAATAACTGTACAAGGATACTTCACATGATTATACTCTACCAAATGTAAAAAATACCTTTTGACATTTCATATTAATCATTCTACAATAACTGATCATCATCATTATCATCATTACAGCCCTTCACAAGTCCCCTGCTGAACATAGGCCTCCCTCAAGGTATGTCACAAAGCACGGTCCTGAGCCACCTGCATCCATCGACTTCCTGCATGTCTTACCAGGTCGTCACTCCATCTAGTGGGGGGTCGCCCTACACTTTGCCTACCAGTACGAGGCTGCCACTCGAGAACCCTTCTTCCCCAATGGTTGTCGGTTCTTCGAGCTATATGGCCGGCCCATTGCCCCTTCAGCTTACTAATCCGTTAGGCTATGTCGGTCACTCTGGTTCTACTTCGGATATCCTCATTTCTAAGTTTATCAAGCAGAGAAACTCCGAGCATAGCCCTCTCCGTAGCTCGCTGAGCGACCTTGAGCGTTCTCATACGGCCAGCAGTAAAGGACCATGTCTCGGTTCTGTAGGTCATCACTGGCAACACACACTGGTTGTACAACTTAGTTTTCAGGTTTTGAGGTATACCTGACGAGAAGATGCGTCGTAATTTCCCGAACGCTGCCCAGCCGAGTTGAATCCGTCCATTGACCTCTCGGTTGAAGTTGGACTTACCTAGTTGGACTATTTGTCCCAGGTAAACGTACTCGTTAACAACTTCGAGCTTAGTGCTCCCAACAACTACGGGCGTAGGTGTGACATGGACATTAAACATGATCTTTGTTTTGTCCATGTTCATCTTAGACCTATCCGTTGGGAGGCACTATTGAGGTCATTGAGCATAGTGCTTAAGTCCTCCAGTGATTCTGCCATAAGGACTATATCGTTGGCAAATCGAAGGTGAGTGATGTACTCGCCTTTGATGTTAATACCGTATCCTTTCTAGTCCAGTAGCTTGAAAACGTCTTCCGATGCAGCGGTGAAGAGTTTCGGGGAAATAACGTCACCCAGTCTTACACCTCTCTATAGTTGGATAGGTTTCGTACTCTGGTTCTGTACTCGGATAGCCATCGTAGCCCTACTGTACAAACACTTCAGCACTTCGATATACCGACAGTCAACTTAGCACTGCTGAAGAGACTGTAGCACCACCCAAATTTCGACGACTCGAATCAAAGGCTTTCTCATAGTCCACATACGCCAGGCAAAGTGGCAGATTGTACTCTTCGGACTTCTGTACAATTTGCCGAAGGGTATGTATGTGGTCTATGGTACCGGCTTGTTCGGGAGGCTGGAAGTCGTCGAGTCTGCGTGCGATACGATTCGTAATGACTCTCGTAAATAGCACGTAAACGCTCACGACTCAGAAGGGATATCGGTCTGTAGTTCTTCAAGAGGCCGTTATCACCTTTCTTGAAGAAAAAGACCACCACACTTCTACTCCACGCCTCCGGAGTAGTGCCACTATGGAGGACAGAATTGAAGAGCTTCTGAAAGACTTCCAGTACCGGTGTTCCACTCGCTTTCAGAAGCTCCGCTGTAATTCCATCCTCGCCTGGGGCCCTGCTGTTTTTAAGGTGCTGGAGAGCCATTCTAATTTCGATCATGTCGTCGGAATAGTGTCGGGTAAGAATTGCTCTTGGATCGTTACACTTGCGTGTGGCACCAACGATGATGTGTACAGCTGCCCATAGAACCTCTCAATCTCACTCTCAATCTCAGGTGTCCCGGAAACGATGTTGCTACATTCAGTATTCAGCTTTGACAGTTGGCTCTTACTGGCAGACAGATCTCTGGCAAAGACTTTAAGCCCTGGTTCCGCTCAATCGCTTCTTCAATACGAGCAGTATTGAAGTTGCGCAAGTCTCGCCGCATGCATTTGGAGATCTGTCTGTTCAGTTGCCTGTATGCTGTCAAATCTGTTGACGATTGCAGCCTCATCTCCCGTGTAACAGCCATGAGATTAAGAGTGTGATCGGAGAGTTTTTGGGTTCTTCTGCGGCGGGTCTTGCAGAACTTAGCTCCGACTGCATGGACAGTTTCCACGAGCTTGTCATTCATATCGTCCACTGCATTGCAATCTTCTAGGCATTGAAAGCGGTTACGTAACTCGAGCTGAAAAGTTTCTGAATCAGAGCACGAGGGGGACGGAGCGTTGACTTCATTAGACGAGACCTCTCCAACTTATCGTTTAGGTTCAGTGTGCCTCTTAACATTCGGTAATCACTGCCAGTTTTCACCCTTGCGATCACTGAGACAGCACTGAACAGTTGGCGTCTGGTCGTCATATTGAAGTCAATCTCATTTTTTGTCGAACCGTCGGGGCTCAACCAGGTCCACTTCCTGTGGGGCCGCTTCTGGAAGAAAAGTCCCTCTTTCTCTATAAAGTCGGCCAGCTGCTGGCCCCTACGGTTTCGTTGCCCTACTCCAAATTTCCCTAACTTCAGCTCACCGCTTTCTCTAGTGCCTAGTTTTGCGTTGAAGTCTCCCATCAACACCGTGTAGTGGGTTTTGGAGGAATGCATGGCTCTAGAAATGTCCTCATACATTTCCTCCACCTCCTCATCGGGATGTGCCGAGGTTGGTGCGTTAACCTGTATGACCTTCAGCAAATACCGTTTGGTGATTCTGAGTGTCAGGTACGCGACCCTCGTCGACACACTCTCAATCTTTACAACGTTGTTGACGAGAGACTTGTGGACGATAAATCCGATACCTCCTTGGGACAGATGGTCGCCCTCCCGGTGATAGAACAAGTTGCCGGACTCGAGGATTACCGTGTTCCCCCCCCCCTCTCTTCGGACCTCGGAACATCCAATAATATGCCAGCGCAACTTGTCTTTGTCCAGTATCTTCTCGTCAGTCCTCAGGGTGCGTGCGTTATATGTTGCCAGGTTGAGTCGTCGTAGGTGGCAACCGAACCTCCACCGGAGATTCTTAGCACCCCCTGCCCCGCCGTTACCATGGTCGCCACCGTAGTCAGGAATAGCGGGGCTGCCGGGAACTGGGGGCCGTTTGTTTGCGTCGTTATTCATGGGGGGATATTTGCCATAGTTTCCACGCTTGGCGAGCGGGTTGGCAACCGCAGTTTTTTATTATATTATTGTTGTTATTAGGAAGATGCTGCTGCCCATCTCCTGCCTGTCTCCCTCTGTCGCCTCTTACGACACCCACTTAGGGAAGATATGGGGTAGTGAATATTCTCAACCGCCACTACACGGCAGGATACTTCACATGATTATACTCTACCAAATGTAAAAAATACCTTTTGACATTTCGTATTAATCATTCTGCAATAACTTTCATATTAATCATTCTGCAATTACTGTACTTCACATGATTTTAAATAAGATTTTATGTAAATCCAAAGAATTATGAAATAATCTAAATTTCGTTACAACATGTATAGTTCTTTATCACTAATTTAAATTCAAATCCCCCAAACAAAGCAAATTATAAAAAAAATTTAACAGAATTTTTTTGTTTGAATGATATTTCGTCATGTACCTTATCATAGTGTTTGGATGATTAAATTCATGCTAATGTGTATCAATAAAAAAAATTCAAATTCATAAAAAATTCAAATAATTGAAATCCTTACATTTTGATTAAAAAGTCCCTCATGACCATGGGTGCTGGAAAGCACCCGAAACGTCGGGTATTAAAAATAAAAAAAATAAAAAATAAATAAAACGCGATAAAATCCGTAAAAGTAGTTTTAATTAATGTATAGTGTTCGCGTAAATATAAGAAATCATTATCCTTACATTTTTTTTAAATTGTTACTTGTATATTTAAATTTTTTATTTTTAGAGTTCCATCACTTTTATGAATCATGTCCAGTTTGTCATTTTTTTTATAGTTTCTCTGAATCCCACTGCAGTGAAGTTGCAAGTAAGTTTAGAAGATGCCGGCTTGTACAATGGTAGTTAGTATATAGTCATTTGAACTGTTTGAAAAGGATTTAGCTTCTGATAAAAAAATGACAAATAAAAATTATTATTTAGAGAGATGAATACTAAGAATAACATTTTTACTAGAAAATAAAAATATAACTAATGGGGACAATGTTATATTTATTGATTAAACATGGCTAAACACCAACCACACTGTGCTGCAGACATGAACAGATAACATTTACCCGTGGTCGACATGTTGTGTCATTTATTAATTTCTAGTGACCCGATCATTCAAGTATTGATTCGTCGTACAAACCGGTCCATATAGGTCAATCATTCAAATGAATAATTTTGAATTTTAGTACTCTGTTAGTTCGTAACTAGCACTGTAAAGGGGTTAACTTAAATTTTTAACCCATTACAGGAGAGCAAGAAAACATTTATTTTTTTCCAATTACTAACTTATTTCATCAGAAAATTAATCGTATTTGTATCGTTTAGTTTTCCATTAAATCTAATATCTTAATATATATAAATTACGTGTCACGTTGTTTGTCCGCGATGGACTCCTAAACTACTTAACCGATTTTAATCAAATTTGCACACCGTGTGCCGTTTGGTCCAACTTGAGAGATAGGATAGTTTTTTTTGCCAATAAGTGACCAAGAATTTTTTTTTGCGAATTTAAGGATTTTTAATAGGACATGAGAAAGGGTCTTCGAAAAGGGCAGAACAACGTCTGCCTGGCAAGCTAGTTTTTAATATTTTCAATATTCTGATGAAAAAAGCTAGTAATCAGGGGAAAAAATGTTTTCTTACTCTTCTGTAATTTAAAAAAAATTGTGGTTCACCTCTTTGCAGCGTTAGCCACGAGTTATTGTGATATGTGAGACCCGCCCGATTCTGTTGGACATTACAATACTCTTTGGTGTGGCAGTTAGCAAGCACAGTTCATTCAGTTTCAGTTGAACTCAATAGCTTTATTTTACTGTTTTTGTGTAATTGATTTTATAATTGGAATAAAATTTACTATTTAGTAAATAAAATTCTTTTGTGGCTTATATGTTTTTGAAAGATTAAAATTCGTCTTTTGCAGTTGCAAGTTGTTTCCATGACCATCTCAAATTCAAACTTACAGGACCTGTCTTATAGTATTAGTTCATATTGGTAGAATCTATTATCACTATTATTTTGATTGTAAAATAGAAAAAAGCCCATTCACGAAATACATTTACATACACAATTTTTGCAAATAATCAATCATGTCACAGGTCATATCATAAATTGCAAACCACATGCAGATCATAGATGGTAAAAATTGATGATCTGCATCTGGTAGTGGTAACAGCGCCCCCAGTAAGTGATAAACTGATAAATTTGTCCTTGTATCTGTAATTTTCGAAGACTTATTCAATAATTATTTCGGATATATATTTAAAAAAAAATATTATGGTATAATACCTTGAAAGTGGGCATGAAATTGTCCTCTATAATATGTGTAGCGCCAAACAATGTCATCTGGAAACAGCTGTTATATTTCTGAATGTTGGCCAAGAAGTGCTTAGAATCATTTCCAATCCTAAAATCTAAATAGCGTAAAGGATCTGGTGGTGGGTCCATTTGTGGCAATTTTATCTTGCCTCCAGCACAACATAATCCAGTAGATTCACCACTGTATTTTAACGCCTTACAACGTCTACAAATTATTGTTATATCCCCAATTGTTACTGATTTGTCGGCGTAATAATCTATTGTCGGATCATAGTGGCATGCAGCTCGTTCCAGAATCGCAGGAGCACTGCGTCTGCGGAATCGCTCAATTTCATTATGTCGTGCTCGCTGTTGGTGTGTTTGATGTGCACGAACTCGTTGCATTCTAAGCCTATCTTCTTCATTGTCACTAAAGAACGCAATTCTGACAGCAATACGACTATTTTCTTGATCAGTCTCTCTCTGGTCATCAGTGCGGTTAGCACGTGAGGTAGCTCTTCTCACATTTGATTGACTGCGACGACCTAAATCAGGTCGTCTTCTCCTCAGCACCGTAAATTGTAATTAATCAATGTGAGAAAAGTTCTCGCGCACTTGGCAGTAAAGTACTATCACAAAAGATCAACAAACAAAAAAACAGCACATAAGTTGAAATGTCACTGTCACAAAGGATCACCGAAGTAGAGAAAGTTCACGCGCACGTAGCGGTAATCGTCTCTCATAAAGATAGAAGAATGCACTCTTTGTCTGAGGTATCGATAGACATAGAGGATGGATCGACATATTAATTGGTTGTCAAATGTCAAATATTATGGTTTATTCCGATGAAGAAACGATCGCTCTATTTTATTGTGTCGTACTCGCTGTTAGTGTGCCCGAGCTCATTCCATTCTAAGCCTATCTATTATTATTCACTGTGGAACACAATTCTGCAATACCACCAATGTTACCAAAACTAATGTTATGATTATCTGTCTCTCGCTGGTCGTCAGTGCGGTTTGAACATGAGTTAGCTCGTCGCACATTTGATTGCCTTCAATAATTTTATTCAGGTAGTCTTTTCCTTGGCATTTTAAAACAATAACAATAAAAAAGTTCTCGCGCACTGCCAAACTGATGATAGATTTTATTAATCATCTCGGAGTTTTTATTTTCCTTTTGCACCGCTAACTGACACTTTTACACTTTTTTATTTCTGAAACAAAACAGACCAAAGAGATCGGGCCTCACTTTACAGCTAGGAACAGACCAAGAGATCGGACCTTATTTCACAAATAGGAACATTTTGTACTGAAAACTAAATTGTCATTTTTGGTACTTTCTGTTTCTTGTTATTTATGTTTCTCACAGTTTAAACCTTCACTGAACTTCCACAAATATTTCAAGACCAAAATTAGTCAAATCGGTTCAGCTGTTCTAGAGTTTTAGCGAGACTAACTAACAGCAATTGATTTTTATTTATATAGATAATAATTCATAATCATTGAATACAATATATTGTTAATATATTTTTATAAATATTATTTTTAATAATATTTTATTTCGTTTTATTACTTAGTTTATTTTATATTGCACGTTGCACCTGTTCTCACAGAATACTAGCGTCAAATAGTAGTTTAATATTGCTGTGTTTTGTATAGTGAGTGTCGGGAACCAGAGAACCTTTTTACTTTAAATGAGGCATTCCATCTTAGTCGTCACGGGTGACAACGCATCTGCATTTTGATTCGTAATCGAGGATAGATGTAGATGTCTTATGGGCTACAGTATTACCACTTACCATCAGTTAGACTGTGTGCTCGTTTGTCACCCTATCCTATAAAAAAATCCGTCAAAATAGAAAATGACAATGTCCTTTTATGTTCGGTTTGTCAGGTAGAAATTGCTTAAAGCAATATAACCACCGTTTGTAATTATAAGTTTTCCATTATTGTAATAACTTTGTTCAAATGCAATAAAGAGTTATCTATCTATAACCAAAATTAAAGATCTTTGAGAGCATTTTGACTATGGGAGTACTTAATTTCAAAAAATAGCAGTACTAACTCTTAACTATACATGCACTATAAGTTATCTTGAAAAAATGCTGTTGGGCTGTTGTGATTTGTGTGTGAGAAATATATATAGAGATATATTTAACTGCGCTTGATAAAAATGAAAGTCAATAAAATTTTGTGTTTACATTCTTTATCTAGTATCATTGGTAATGTCAGAAATTAGTAAACATAATATCTTTTTCCTTATATTTGAATAATACTTCACATTTGAAAATAATTTTTCTTGTTTTATAGCTAAATCATCTAGCACAGCACAAGATCCTGGTCAGCCTTATTTTAAGCCAGGTTTGCTAGGTTCACCATTTTATCCAGGAAAAACTATGTATGGAGGAGCTGCATCATCCTACATGAATAGTCCTAACATCAAGTTATGCAAAACTACAATGGTTAATGAATCCAGTAGCCATCATGATAATACTATGAGTCATTCTGCCAGACGTGTTATGGATTTGTTAGAACACTATTCATCACCACTGTCAGAAGCTAAACGAATATTAAATTATGTTGGTTCCCCCAGGAATGATAATTTAAGTAAAAGCTTAGAGAGCAGTTCTCTGAAAGCTAATAGAAGTTCTGGTAAGTATTAAACGTAAATATTTAAAAATGTGCTTATTGATTAATGAGAAAGGTCAATAATAAAATTATAATTTTTTTCAGCATATAAAACACAAGAACTACATGTGCCTAGTATTGCAACAATTCTGTCATTGAAACAGAGATCGCGTCTCATGGATACAACAAATACAGCAAGACAAATTATTGCATCTCACAGTAGTGCAGCAAATTACTTGCCTTATCCAAAGTGCAGCATACAGAGGTAAGATATATTGTACTTTTACTATATTATACTTAAGATCAATATAAAAAATAATAAAATATATAATTATACAGTTCAATTAATCTTTTGACTGTCACACTATTGAAATAACTGGGTATTTTTAGTTTTTTGGTTAAAACCTTGCCTTTGCCTACGACTGCTAATTCTTTTTTTAAACATTTGCTGTATAAGCATATATACTGAGATGCAACTGCATGATAAAGAAAATACGTAAAAATAGAAAAAGAAAACCAAAAAGGAATGACTGATGCTACTGGTTGCATAAAGCAAATTCAATTCTAAAACATAGAATTTTGTAAAAAAACCTGTTTTTTTTGATATTATATCATCATTCCATCGAGTTCAAGGTTTACTGAAGTTCTAACAAGTGGTCATTTCTGGTTATGCTCTTCAAAGATTTCTTTTAATTAGTAGTGCACTTATTAAAATATTTAATTACCTTTAATATATTTCATAATAAAAAATTGTGAATTTATAATTGCTTTTTATATTTTATAAATATATTTTTTTACCATCTAAGTGCTCAAAATATTCCATAACCGCTCAATTGCTTGCGAACAAAAAAAGGGTAGCTTAGTTTGCTAGTAATCGAGACCGTGTTTCTCACGTTCGACCCGCCTTCAATAAAACTTAATTTATGACTTACTCCAGAGGAGCACTTCAAATATTTTAAATTTTATGAATAGCCATTGAAATAAGAAATGAAAATACGTATGTTATTCTATCAAAATATGATTACAATAATATTTTAGAGGTGTTGAAATCACAAGTACAAGCCATTTTAGCGACTTTTTGTAAAACATCTGGTTTATCAAAAGAATAAGATCGATAAGTGTATGATTATTTATTATATCCTTAAACTTAATGAATTACTTGATATATTTATCTATATTGTAAAACGATTTATATTTAAATACATAATAAAAATATTAAGTGAAACCTGATGAAGAATTCACAGATTGTTCAATTGATCGCGATTTGTTAGTTACAATCTAGGCTGTTATTACATAAAAACTTATATTATAATATGATGAACAATTTATAAAACTTTATTACTTAAATTTAATAATTATATTAAATTTAAGTAATAAAAAAATACCACTACGACTATTTCGTATATAAAGAATACAACATAATTACGATAATTTAAGCTATAGAAAATTATTCGTCATTCTGACTATTTTTAAAAGTCGACTTTATCACATTTTTCATACACTATTTGCAAAAATATTACTTTAATACAAGAAAACACTAATAAGACATTAAGTTGGTATATAAATACTAGCAAAAATCAATAAAATTCAATACTCACGGCATATTTTATCACCTCGTTAAATCCACTCAAGCGTCACTTCACTCATTAAAGTTTAACTAACAAAGTTTCAATATTTTTCGTCCAAGAGGTTGGTAATTTCGATCCAAATCTATGATTTTTATATTTGTTTTTGGTTTTAATATGTAATAGTTAAACTCTGTGCATTTAAAATATGGTCTAAATTCAATTAAAAGAACTTCGACGCTTTGCAACCACAGTTGCATAGAGCAAAGTTAAGGATACTTTTTGTGCAACTGTGGTTGCAAGAAGCAAACGAGCGGTTATGATATTCTAATTTCACTCTTTTGTTACAGTGAATCCTCAAATAAGGATAATGGTGAGAAGTTAATAACAAAAGTAAAAACCAGAGTAACAAGAACAAAAAGGGGCGAAAGCTCTGAACTTCGTAATGTATCTACTCCAGTAAAGCTACCGACAGGTTTTTTGGAAATTGATCAAAACAATTTACCCAAATTTAATTTTGGTAGCCCTATCGTATCAATATCATCAACTTCTACTGTTCAGTCTACTACAACTCCTGTGACAGAAACTTCAACTTCTTTAGACTTTAAAACAACAGGTGATTTAAAATCAGTTGAGTTAGAAACACAAAAAACTAACAACTGTTATAAATTCTCAACCCCTGTTACTGTATCAAAAGACATGCCATTTAGTTCAACAATACCTAAATTTACTTTTGACAGTCCAATGAAGAATATTGAAGAAACAGTTGTAAGTAAGGAAAAAGATGGAAACATTTTTGTTAGTTCATCGCAAAATAATGATGATAAAGTGTCTTTCGAGAAATCTAAAGATTGGAAATGTTCAGATTGTTGTGTAAATAATAAAGCGAATGCTACTAATGGTGTATGTTGTTCTGCCAAGAAGAAAACGGAGGAAAACAAAGCACTTCTTAAGTGTTCAATCTGCAAATCTGAACCAATAAACCAAACCAATGTTGATAAATGCCATAATTGCCAGAGAACTGAAAAAGGTACTAACAATAAGTTGCAAATCGTATCACCTTCAGAGGTTTCGAATTGGAAATGTGAAGATTGTTGGGTTAGTAATGAAGAATCAGCAGAAAAGTGCGTTTGTTGTGGTGGCAAAAATCCCAAACTCTCCATTCCTGCTGAAAAGAAAGCTAATAAAATTGATAGTGATTGGAAGTGTAATGACTGTTGGATTAATAATAAAAGTACTGTAGATAAGTGTGTTGCATGTGGTGGAGTTAAACCTGGTACATCTCTCAAAGGCAAACCTGTAATATCAACTATTCCAACTAGTAATCTTTTGTCATCTTCATTTAAACCACCTGATAGTACATTTCAAAATATTGTTAAATCACAGACTGATAAATGGGAATGTTCTAACTGTTTGGTAAGAAATGATAGTGACAAAGCTAAATGTGTTTGCTGTGAGACAGAAAAACCTGGGGCTGTAAAAGAGCCGAAAAACGTAAGCTTCAATTTTGGTATGAATACAAATACCACATTCAAGTTTGGAATTGATCCAAAAGCTCAAGAAATGAAATCAAACAAAGAAAAAGAAATCGAACAAAAAACTGGTCAATCTAAAAGTGAAGAGCTTGAGGCAAACAATAATATTTTAGCTAATACACCAACTTTTACTTTTGGTATACCTGCAAAGAAAATTGATGAAAAAGAAAAACCAGCAAAAGATGAATCAAAAAAGGTGGCAGAGATTCCAAAATTGAACTTTACTTTTGGTATTCCAAAGCAAATAGCTAATGATTCATCTGAAAACACGAATTTAACACAAAATGATAAGAAACAGGATTCAGTAATTAATTCTACTGAAAAGCTACAAGAAGTACCAACAGTGGTGTTCAAACTCCCTAAATCAACACAAGATGCTCCTAAAGAACCAGCGAATATATTTACATCTTCAGTGACATCTGCAGTATCCAATGATAAATCACTTGAAACTATTAAAACAGAAGTTGTGCCCAGTACAATTGTAATAGAAAAGAGCTTAATATTCACACCCTTAATTATGCAAACCACTGCATCAAGTGATGTAAAAAAGCCAAGTACTTTTTCTTTCACAGGAACAGGGCTTAAACCAGCTACCAACTCATTTACTATCCCTGTTGCAAATGCTGCTACTACATCTACTGATGTTACGTCACTACCTGCGCCGGTAACCACTTCTTCCTCATTGTTTCAAAAAAGTGACAGTAAAACTTCTCCAGCAGTATCATTATTCCAAAAAATTGAAGCAGTTCCATCACCATTAAATTTCTTTAAAAAGAGTGATTCGGTGACTACAACAGCAAATGAAGCTCCAGCATTCACAACATCTACAAAATTGTTTAGCTTTGGCAGTAGCAATCAAACTGCTTTATCTCAACCCGAAAAACCGAAATTTAGTTTTAATTTCGGAAATACAAATAAAGCGGATGCACCATCTATATTTAATGCAACATTTGGGTCAACTACAAATGCTAATACTATTTCGAACACGTTTACTCTTCCATCTGCAAATACAGTACAAACAGGTCCTTCAATACCAGGAGGCTCACTTGGTAGCAGTAGTGGCTTATCAACTGGAAGTTCTTTAAACAGTACTAGTTTGTCAACAAATAATTTACTTTCGACAGGAAATAATGGACTTGCAACCGGGAATAATGGACTTTCAACAGGAAATCAAATAAATGTTAGTAAGTTGGGAAATGAGTCTTTGAACACAGGAAATACTTTGAAAACTACCAGCACGTTACCAACAACTCTTTCAAATAACATATTTGGTGCTGTAGCACAAAATGAAAACATTTGGTCAAGTACAAACAATACTACAGGAAATTTGTTTGTACCAAATGCAACTAACAACAACCCATTACAGAAGCCTGCATCATTTACTTTTGGTACATCTACAACTTTTAATGCTAGTAATGGTGGATCTGCCTTTGGGACTAATAATACTCAGACTGTATTTCCAACAGAGAATCAAAGCTCGTTATTTTCTAATCCAGCTCAGAGTCAAGCAACACCAAATATTTTTGGTTCTTCGCAACAAAGTAGTAGCCCCGCTCCTGTTATTGGAGTATTTGGAAATACAATTACAAATGTTGTTGGAAGTAATACTTTTCTCAATCCTTCACAGTCGCAAGCTCCCGGGCCTGCTCCAAGTTTTAACTTTGGTGCAAAACAGCTTGGCACTGGCGTATTCGGATTTGGACAGGTAAAATAAAATGCTTAATTGTTATTATTAGCTTAAAAGACTTTGGTAAAAGTTACTGCTTAACATATAGGCCTCACAAATAGATTGCCCACAATGTGCTGTCAGTCTGGCCAAGCTTGGAAAGGTTTAAATTTGATAGCATGTAATCTATATCCATCATAAATTAAAAAATAAAACAATTTTTTTTCTGTTAAACAATGTTTCATTACTCAATTGAAAGTTTTAAAATCAATGTAATCACCATTTAATAACAAATTTCACATAAAGTTAAAAAGTTAAAGTTACATCCTATATATGTCACATTGCTGGGTACAGGCTTCCTCTCATTTATGAAAGGGTTTTGGGGCAAGTAAATATCCGCCGCGCTGCCCCAATGCGTGTTGGCGAACTTCACATGTCTTCGATTTTTGTTATTTCTCTGACATGGAGGTTTCCTCGCGATGTTTTCCTTCACCGCCGAGCACGTGGTAAATTAGCACTTAAAATTGCAATCAACAATTTCGTTGGTGCCGGCGGGGATCGAACCCGGGTTGCTCGCGTGGTGACTACAGCGCTAACCATCTGAGTTACCACGGCTCTAATTTCACATAAACACTTTGAAATTTTTAAACAATCAATGTATTGTGATTCCCAGTCATACATTCAATTTCACAAGTTGTATAGACTGTCCCTCAAGCTGTATAGGAACAATTTGAGGTGATTTAAAGTTCTTATTTACTACAAAATAGTTTTTATTTATTGTCTTAAGAGCACAAGATATATCGAAGATTTTGTGTGAGACCAAAAGTATATGTGAAGATGCAATGTGAGTAACAACCTAAGTGCAAGTCTCATCTGACACTATACCAATAATATTCTGGACACCATTCTAGTGAGATTAGAATGGCTCTGCAGTAACTTACGAATGGAATTACAACAGAGCTTCTGAAAACGGGTGGTAAACTGATACTTAAAATCCTTAAGAAGCTTTTTCATCAAAATCAGTTCTGACTGATTTTCACGCTAATTCGACGACTTCCAGACTCCCGAACAAGTCGGGATCCGAAAACCCATAGACCATACCCTTTAGCAGGTTAACCAGAAATGAGTATAATCTGCTGTTAGATTTGGCGTATGTATGTGGACTATAAGAAAGCCAGCCAAATTCAGACGAAATTTGGGCGGTGCCATAGTGCCATCAGTGATACCAAGTTGACAGTCGGTATATCGATGACATTGGCAAAGAATTATCAGTTTAATGACGATTCCTAAGGGCCATTTTTTCTTTTATTATTATCATTATAAGCAGGAGAGTATTACTTGTATAGTATCACTATGATGTTTATCCGAAAATAGAAAAAAGAAAATTGCAACAAATTTTTATCTCTGATATTTGTCTCTCTTCACTCATTTAGAGGTATAATATATGTAGAAGTTAACTCATATCACATTTGACTATTTGTCCACTCGCTTTCTATTCTCCATACAGAGAAAGCATAACTTAACAAAGCCCTGCTATTTTTGACATCCAATTATGACATACATGTAATTATATTCTTTTAATCTTATGTAATCAATTTGACAATGATATTTTGCTTAATTTATTTGACATGTAATCTATTTGACTTCTAATCTATTTGGCATGTATTTTTATTTTTTATTTATTTGATCTATTGGACATGTGTTCTTTAATTTATTTGACCTTTTTGACCAGTATTATTACTATTACAGTCAATCGGGGTAACTTTGACAGATCATCAGTCTACTTTTGTATATAACTTTTATTATGTTAAATATGAGACAAAAGAGTGTACTTAGATTAAGTTACCATACTCTCAAATTATTTAATGTCTATAAAACTTATACAATATATAAAAAAACTGACAATTTTGTTGTGTGTCAAAGTTATAATATATGGATAACTTTGACACAGATGAGATTTGTCGCAGTAATCATAATTTTCAAACATTTTATAGCTTCAGGGTAACATTAGTTTAAGCCTTTTACAGATTTTGACTGCAGTGGAGTCATACAAAAAAAAAAAGGGTTATTATAATATTAAGGAATTTATGGATGATAATAACCCCTGGGAAGGGTGATCGCTACCAAGCTATTTCTAATTTGTCTTGTGTTGTTTGAAACTTGATTGTAAGCTATTATTTGAAAGAAAAAAAATAGTCCCGCCTGGTTTCTTGCTGGTTCTTCCCTGGACAGAGGTTTTTTTGCGACCCAGTGGTAAATTAAAAAATTAACTTTTTTTATTATATGCGAGCAGCTATGCAGGTCTAGGGAAAGAGACCAGAATTACTGCGACCTATAAGATCTATTGTGATCGCTGCCATGACTATAGTTCACGACTAAGCCAAGTCCTATGTCTTCAATGAATAGGAGTTGCTTAGCCGTGAGCAATTTCACTTCTTCTGGGCGGAGTAGATAGTTTCCCAGATGAGTGTTACATTTGCGCATTAAGGGTCCGCAATCAGGACGTGTAGAGGCGTTTCTTCCGTTATGGAACAGAACCGACACATCCTTGAGTTGCTTAGTCCCAGGATGGACATGTGCTTTTTAAGACAACAGTGTCCAGTTAGGGCTCTTGCCAGAATGCGCAATTTATTTTTACCTAATCTCAGGGCTTCTGAAGCGAATTTACGATCAAAAGCCCGGATTAAGGTTTTAGAATGTTTTAAGCCTGGTGTGTCAGATTTATTGTGATAAAGAGTTTCAAGGGTCAATCGGGCTAGACTTCTTGAGATTCCACAAAATGGCTCACGTCCAAATTGTGTACACTGTTAGCCCTCCCATGCAAGTTTGTCGGCAAATTCGTTGCCTACAATACCCTCGTGACCTGGAACCCATCTTAAAATGACCCTGTTGTTACATCCCAGGGCGTTTAAACGGTTCACGCAGTCTCCAACTAGCTTCGAGTTCACTAAGTTTGATCTCAGCGCTAGCAGTGCTGCTTGACTATCAGAGTTTATGTCAATTTTATGGTTGACGTAGTGTTTTTGCAGATTGATTTCCGCACACCGAAGTATGGCGAAAAGTTCTGCCTGGAAGATAGAGGTGTATCTACCCAAATTCATACTAAGTTTGAATTTAAGGCGTTCCCCATAAATTCTAAACCCTACGTCGAGGCCCATTTTAGACCCATCGATATACCATACGAGGCTACCGACCTCACAGATAACCTCGCCATTCAGCCAGTCTTCTCTGGAAGGTAATTCCACTATATACTTTTTATCAAAAGTGTGTAGTGGACGCATGATATCTGGGATCATGCATAAGACCGGTGATTCCTTAATTGAGTCGAGCATGGATCTTAATCTGTAGGAGAGCAAACTCAGATCGCCGCGCCTATACAAACTAGCCCTCGCCTCCTTGTCTAGATAGAGATTAAGGGGCGTTAGGCATAGAAGCGCATTAAGAGCCGCTCCAGGCGATGATCGCATAGGTCCAGTTGCCATTAAGCAGGCATTCCTTTGTAGACTATTTAGTCTGTCCGCAGTCGTCTTTTGGTTGGCCTTGTTACACCAGACAATAGAGGCGTAGGTGAGAATCGGCCTCACTATGCTGCTGTACAGCTATAGGACCATACTGGGACGTAAGCCCCAGTTGTTCCCGACCAAAAGACTGCACGTACCTAAAGCAATTTTTGTCTTATGGCATATGTTGCTAAGGTGAGTTTCACGTTAGTTTTTGTCGATTGTTACGCCCAAGTGCTTAACTTCCGTGGAAAATGGTACTTCTTTGCCATTAAGTTTTGGTTGGACTAATTTGTTCAACCGTCTCTTTTTGGTAAAGAGTATTACAACAGTTTCATCAGCATCAACTGATAACTGTTATCCCTAAACCAGTTATTTATGGTTTGGGGCTCTTTGTATTATTGATGATAAAGTACTTTGGCAAAAGCCCGTCGCAATGATCACAAGGTCACCAGCATAACCCAATGTGTCAATGCGTAGGTCTGCCATTTTGTACAATAGTTGGTCAACCGCAAGAGTCCAAAGAATAGGTGACAAAACACCTCCTTGTGGGCAGCCTCTTGTGGTTGCAACCTCAATCGAAGTTTGAAACAGCGCTATTTTTACCTTTTTGTTTGAGAGCGTCGACTTTATCCATCTGATGGTTGTGGGGTCAACATTTTTAGATGTCAGGCCCCCAATCAGAAGTGATGTGGGGCTACTGTCGAAGGCGCCCTCAATATCTAGAAAGGCACAAAGAGCTATTTCTTTATTCTCCAGTGCTTTTTCGACCCTGTCAATGACACTGATCAGGGCTGTTTCCGTAGATTTGCCTATGCGTAAGCATATGGTTGGGGCCTCGTAACTAGAGCTACATCCCTTATATATATATATATATATATATATAACCTTTTCCAATGTCTTAAGAAGAAAGGAAGATAGGCTTATAGGTCTAAAGGACTTTGGTAAAGCGTAGTCCTTTCTACTTGTCTTAGGTATAAATAGACAATTGACAATTGTCCATCGTTCTGGAATATATCCCCATGCAAAACTTGCTCTGAAGATTTTCACCAGATAAGGAAGAAGGATGTCGATACCCCTCTGTAGTTGGATGGGAATTATTCTATCCTCCCCGCTTGATTTAAATGGTTCAAAGGAGTCTTATTATCTTTGCAGCCCTACAGCAGTCCTCATTGCAAGGCCTTCGTAGGGCTCTGAAAGAATTCAAAGCTGAAGTCTTGTATGACTCTGGGAAATGAGTTGACGCTAGTAACTCCAATGTTTCTGTTTCACTATTACTGAAGTTACCATCCGGCTTTTTAAGAAGCCCGATCTGATTAGGTTTAGTTTTCGATAGCATCTTGTGTAGTCTTGCACTGCGAGGCAAAGACTCAACTTCCTTGCATAGCTTCCTCCACGATGCTCTCTTGGCTTTCCTGATTTCTTTATTATATTCAGTTACGGCTGCACTATAAATATTCCACTCTTTGGTTTTCTTAGCCCTATTAAATAGTTTCCTGGTCTTTTTCCTAAGTTCTTTCAACTTAGAATTCCACCAAGAAACTTTTCGTGTTGAGGTCTTGGTTTTGACGGGACAACTGTCCTCGAAGGCTTCACGGATACCTACGGTTACTGTCTCTGTCGCTAACTCCAGACCTTTAATTGTTTTGATGCTTTTAGGAAACTTTTCCAAATCCCTCCATAGGCTATCTCTGTAGATATCCCAGGAGGTCGCTTTTGGATCCCTAAAAGTAACTGTTTCATGATTAGACATCGCTACTAACATGCCAGTCATTTATCCGCCTGGACATGTTATTTGTAACAAAGGTTATGTCTACCACTTCTTGCCTAGCACGCGTTACAAAGGTTGGTGTACAACGTAAGTTTAGGCTTACCAGGTGGTTGGAGATAAGAAAATTATAAAGTAACACCCCTTTCGTTGATGTTGGTGCATCCTCAGGCTGTGTGGTGAGCATTAGCATCACAACCCACCACAAGTTCGGCGTTGTGTTTTTGGGCGAACTCCGCCACTCGCTCTAACTCGATGGTAAGATCTGCGTTCTCGCCGGAAAGATAGGCTGAGCAAATGATTACTCTGGCCCCTGTGCATCCCTTGAGATTTATGAAGGCTGTAACCAGGTCATCATTGCAGTACTCTAGAACAGCTAAAAGTTCAATATTTTTATTATAAATTATACAAGCTCTGGGTCTACTGCCTTGCCTTTCTATTGACAAGAATCTTACCGGCAGCCGCCAATCCCAGAACTGGACCGTTGGCCACCCAAGACTCGTGTATAAGGGCGAGGTCAATGTTGTCCTCTTCAAAGCAAACCTCCACCACATCAGAAGCAGCTGCCGCATGATGAAGATTTGCTTGGAGGAACTTCATCTTACCCTTGGGTTTAGCCAATTATGGGTGTGGGGGGGCAGGGATCTTTTCCGCCTGTTGAGGACGAAGACATCCTTTACCTGCGCACTTGACCCCCGCCTTACCTTTCGTCAAACCGCTCCCACCTCCCCTCCCCCCAGGCCTGGACGACACCTGCGGAGGCCGTCGGACCGAGGCGAAATCTGCGCCTTGGGTCTTCGTCACTCTCACCCGTGGCGTTCCAGCCTCACCCCGAGAGGTGGAGGGCTGGGGGATTGGGGTTGGTGCGGTTCGGGATCCATTGCCGCGTCAGAGCCTCCCCTGACTTTAAAAGTTATCATCTTAAAGCCAAAGATGACTCTGCTGCCTGCCTTCCGAAGAGCCTCCGCCGATGGGTCGTCGAGAGAAAAGGTTACTAAGAACCCATTCTTCTCGTCCCTACGGTGGAGGATTCTCCAGAGCTCAGTATGGAGCCCTTCATTTTGTGCCAACAACAGCACAGCCGCCTTCTCTAGAGAGTCGGCTTCGCTGCGGGGCAAGTAGGTAATGCCCAGCTGAGGCTTAGGCAGTTCGCCCTCGGGTATTACCGAGAGCTCTGCCGGCCAGGCCAGGGCTTCAGTGTTCCGATTTCACCCACAATCCAGTCCTGGCTTGCCTTATTCAGGCATATTACCAGAATCCAACCTGGCTTGTGGGTGAAACCCAAAAATTTTGGACCCATTCCCGGTTGCGCCCCACAGGCCGTCTTAGCGATGGCTTATGTTAGTGCCCAGTGGACCAGCCGCATCTGCTCCACACTCATAGGATTTGAATTGCGAATTCCTATACGCACGGAGCCAGCGACGGCACTGAAGCTGAGCTTCTTCTCCTCCGTTGCCAGCTTCACAGTCTTCCTGGGCTGGTCTTTGGGGGATTCTTCCTCAGACCGACTGCGTTTTTTCGCCTTCGGAACTGGGGGAGGCTTGGGCAGAGGAGTTTCGTCCCAAGGCTTCTGGCAGAGAGAGAGGGCCTCTTCGGCTCCTATCTCAGCTGCTATCAGCCTTCGGTACCTTTTCATCGCTGCCCCACTAAGCTTATAAGGCCTAGCGAACTTTTTCTTTTCCCCTCCCTGGTTCGTTTCCGATTGTGGTTCGGCTGCAAACGCGCCCCCCATTTCACGGCTCGTCCCAGGTTGGGGCGCAATGTTGCAGGGTGTTGGTGAGACTAAAAGAGCCTCTTTCAAACCTACAGCTAGTTCCATTAAAGGAGACTTCTCATTGTCTTTTCCAAAATGTAGGTTTTCATCCATATTGTTCCCACGGTTAGCTAGGGAAAGACTTGGTTACCCCCGGCAGAGCCCCGCATGCCGAGGGAAAGGCTAAAATACTACCCGAATCGCCCTGGTCTCGGTTAGGCACCGTTTGCGACATCCATCGGCACGGTACGCTTGACACATTGGATTGGGTTAGGATAGGAAAAGGGGGAGGGATAAAAGAAAAGAAAAAGAGGATCGTCCGAGTGTTTCTGTTCTGTCTGTTTCCTATTGAACCAGACCAAATAACAGGCGGCAACCACGTGAAGGAGAACTCCTCAGACTTGCACTGGGGATCAACACGACCTGCGCTCTCCCTCAGAGCCATACGCCAAACTGCTCGCCGAACAGGAGAGCAGAATAAGTGTTAATGTAGTCCTATTTATAATATCAAAAAGTTAGGAGTTGACTAACCCCCGCCCAAAAAATTGACTTTCAATAAGTATTGTTTATAATCTACATTGAATAAAAGAGTTTCTGTTTCTGTTTCAAGTCAATAAAACCATAAAATACTAGTACTATCTTTATTTAAACTCTTTGGCGAACGCAACACGCGTGATATTTATCACGATCTGGGACGCGATCTGGAATGACGTATCGCGATCCATATCGACACACCCTACACGTTCATTTCGGATCACATCAATATTGGGCACAAAACTGTTAAGTGCATACATATCTAAAATGGACCAAAATGTAGAAAAACTTTTTTTTATAGGATAGGGTGACAAACGAGCCTTGCAAAGCCTAGTTATAATAAATGTGACAAATGAGCAACTGATAGTAAGTAGATGCTGTGATCCATAGACATCTACATCTATCCTCGATTACGAATCAGAATGCAGATGCGTTGTCACCCGTGAGGACTAAGATAGAATGCCTCGTTTCCAGTAAAAAGGGTCTCCGGTTCTTTACACTCTCCATACGAAACACAGCAGCATTAAGCTACAATTTGACGCTGGTATTCTGTGAGAGCGTGGCCCTTCCCCGGTCGAGCCGACCCATTCGTGCTACAACTATACTACTAATATAACTGCAGCATTGCTCTACCACATGTAAACGCTTGCTTAAAGCTTGTGTGGCTATCATTATGGCAATAATATTAAAAAGGAGAGTGCCGATTTAAACGATTTTTTTCTAACATTCTCCCATTGAAGCGCCATTTTTTATTTTTTTTATAAATTGGTAGTAACTTCTGAAGCCTTCATGCGCTTACAATTGTTTTTAAAACCATCATACGATGTGTCCCATTATATGGGCGTTGTTTCCAAACATAATATAAAAGCCTGTAAATATTTTTGATGGATTGTAGATGGTCCCGTCGAAACAGGATTGTCGCTTTCGTTTGCGATTTCGCCCGCATCACTACAAAAGTAGTCCTCTTCCATCGCTTCTCCAGAGCAGACTGACGCGATCCGTATCGCATGCGTACGATATGGATTTGGATTATGGATTTTCGGAAATCTAGAAATTCTGTGATCCGTATCGCGATCCATCAATACTTGATACTACACGTTCAATAAAGATCACGATCCTGGATCGCGATCCAAGGATCGTGATAAATATCACGCGTGTAGCATTCGCCTTTGGTAATCACCATTAAAATTCCTCTTTAAAAGTTTACCTTTAGAAATTTACCACTGCAAAAAGACAACAGTTGCGCACGCGTACTTTAAAATAAGTTTTTGAATTTACTTGGTTTGACAGTATAACATAAATGAACTAAATGTTGTTCGCATAGAAAATAAAAGAGTATTTTGCGATTTGACTGTCAAAATTACCCTTGTTAATCAAAGTTATCCCGATTGACTGTATTTAAAACTGTAATTTGTAAATTAGCATGCTGACGTTTTGGGCATACTGTGAGCCAGCATGTACACTGCTTACTGTGTCCACTGTCAGCGTCGTTGCTACCATCACTGTTAGCAGTAGACTTGCTGTTGAAAGAATTTGATACAGGAACTTCTGTACTATGTCACTAACTGGAGTGTTTGTATCTTTGAAAGTTTATCACTCGACAAAGGCAGTATGATCTGTCCCAAGCTAACAAAAGCTTCATTCAAATTCTGCGTTCTTTGCCTCTGCCAGACATTAGCCATCACTTGTAGTATTTTCATTTCTGCGGCCTGGTCGGCCTTGCAGAGCCCATGAGACAGAGGTGTGCAACCAGTGTCCGTGTTGTCAGCTTGTCAGTGTTGTCTTACAGAGCTAGAACATGGTCATTCACTGATGGTCGTATGAGAAAGCTCAAAATCACTCATTGTGCAATTGGAAATAGCTGTTTTACAATTCTCTGCGGGATATAGTCCACAATGAGGATATTCTCTGAACAACAAATGCAACTGTCAAAGTCCCATAAGTCATCAGGATTAGTAAGCCGAAATGGCAATAGGCTGGTCATATAGCTTGAAGAACCGACAACCTGGGTTCAAATCCTGGGTGGGGCTAAAATTACTTCTTGGGTTTTTCAGGAAATTAGTGGTGTTGTACCCCCATGCCTCGGAAAGCACGTAAAGCCGTTGCTACCGTCATGTCGGATTGTCGTCCTATCAGATTAATGGAATTAATCCTGTCAAGGTCTAATATACATTGAGTTGAGAGTTAAGGGTATATTATTTTATTTCTACATCGACCTAAGGATGATTGATCGAGAATGTCTCAGCCATTGTTGTTGATATGTAATTATTATTGTTTATGTATTTACTATAAAATAATGTTTGTTTTGTTTTCCAGCAGCAACAACAAATATCTCAACAATTTCAAAGCCCTGTTTATAACTTTGGGTCCAGTCAAGGCACACCACAATTTAACATGGGTAGTGCACCCAACATTTCAGCTCGGCGCGTTAGAAAAGCTGTACGTAGAACGACACCACGGTGAAAATATAACAACAAAACTTACAGTGCTGGACGTAACTCTCTTTATTGAATGTGGTGCCAGTCAAATGTGTAAGTGACTTATGACTAGTTAATCGAATATTAATGTGTAAACCTATAAGGGTATGTGTAAAAGTGAAAACATATATTCTTTATGGTAGAGCTACATCTAAACCTGTTTAAGAACTTGATCAGTGTATCATTATATTATTTCAAAAAGCATTAAGATTGTTGTTAAATTTTCTGATCCATATTTCATAAGCAAAGTGCATAATGAATATTAGTTTAGATTTAAAGAAAATGGTATTTATTTATCCATTACAATTTAAATTTTTGTGACTGTTCAAAAAATTATAGAAAACTAGGCATTTGTGAGTTTTAATTAGTCACATATAGGCACATAGTTTTAATATTATGTTATTGTGTTATCATATTAAAATATTTTTTCCCAATTTTTAATTTCTAATAAGTAAGTAGTAATTTATACGTACGTTTATTACCATATAATGTAAAACCTTAGCATATGAACCCACATTGTATTGTACTATACTGGTCTACATTTAGGGAATAATGCCTTTGCAGAACAAATTTTAGGGAGTGCTTTTTATTCAAGTTTTAAACTCTGGTCGTTTTTATATATAGTCAACCAAATCTTGACAGCTGTCAGACTTATTGTACCAAGCATGCCAACCAAAAAAAATGGAAACGTACAATATTCGATTCTTAAAAAAATCGATTTCGATTATTTAGAATTTGTAATAATTTACAGTTTGGTTTGAATAATACAAGAATAAATTAAAAACGAATAATTTAAAACACAAGATTTATCGATTTCTTCGAATTTGTTGTATTTACTTATTTCTAGAGGCACAGTTATAAAAATTTTAGATTGAAACTAGATTCAAAATAAATTTATTTAATCACTTTCAGTACAACTAGTTGAGCTGTCGTTTTTTAGATTAATTACTATTTGAATTTCAATAAAGAAGTCAAAATTAATGTCTCTTTCAAAGTCATCCATAGTAATTTCTTTGTTTTTTCTACCACTTTTGCCCAATTATCCGCGGCCTTGTTTATGAGTTTTTTAACCACACAAATTTACGGTGACAAATTTAAAAAAAAGAATCTAATTTTATTCATGATTCATGTAATTTAAAGAATTTTAAAAATAAAAATAAAATTAAACAAATAATACCTACATTAATGAAATAAAATTAATGATTCGATTATTTTAATATTTTTACCGATTATTAGAATATTTTGCCGATTATTCGCATAACAATTAATTTTAATCATCCAAACACTACGGTAATGTACATTACATAGCGACATATCATTGAAAGGACGTGAAGTACAAAAAGTTGATGCTGGTTATTTTTTAATATTTTGCTTTGTTTGAAAGATTCAAATTAGTGATAAAAAACTGTACACGTTGTAATGAAATATTGGTAACTTTATAATTCTGCGGATTTATGTAAATGGTTATTTTAAATCGTGTGAGTACGCTTGTGCAAAGTTATTGCGGAATGATAAATGTGAAACGTCAAAAGGTATTTCTTAGATTTGGTTGACTATAAGAAATACATTTTGACAGCTATCATTATTGCACCAGGCATGCCAACCAAAAAATGGGAACGTACAATATTCAATTCTCAAAAAATCGATATCGATTATTTAGAGTTGGTAATCATTTACAGTTTGGTTTGAATAATATCAGAATAAATTAAAAACGGATAATTTAAAACACAAGATTTATCAGTTTTTACGTATTTGTTGTTAGGTACTGCTTATTTCTAGAGGCACAGTTATAAAAATTTTAGATTGAAACTAGATTAAAAATAAATTTATTTAATCACTTTCAGTACAACTAGTTGAGCTGTCGTTTGATTTTCAATAATGCAGTCAAAATTAATGTCTCTTTCAAAGTCATCCATAGTAATTTTTTTGTTTTTTCTACCACTTTTGCCCAAATAAAATATCCTTTGTGAAATGGGCACATGCTTCAACGAATATTGAAAAAACAGTTTAAAAAGTTAAAGCCGAGTCACAAAATAAGAAGACAAACACAAAATCACAAAATTACGCACAGTAAGCTCCCGAAACGGCGGGATATTGAAATTACGTAGTGGTTTTTATATCGCGGCCTTGTATATGAGTTTTTTGTCCACACAAATTTACGTTGACAAATTTAAAAAAAAAATAATTTTATTCATGATTCATGTAATTTAAAGAATTTTAAAAATAAAAATAAAATTACTAACTACTAACTAAATAATACTTTAATGAAATAAAATTAATGATTCGATTATTTTAATATTTTACCGATTATTAGAATATTTTGCCGATTATTCGCATAACAAATCATCCAAACACTACGGTAATGTACATAGCGACATATCATTGAAAGAACGTGAAGTACAAAAAGTTGATACTGGTTATTTTTAATATTTTGCTTTGTTTGAAAGATTCAAATTTAAATTAGTGATTAAAAACTATACACGTAATGAAATATTGATAACTTTATAATTCTTCGGATTTACGTAAATGGTTATTTTAAATCGTGTGAGTACGCTTGTGCAAAGTTATTGCTGAATGGTTAATGTAAAACGTCAAAAAGTATTTCTTAGATTTGGTTGACTATAGTAACAAATATGTCAACCTATGGATGCCTTTTAGAATTTAGTGATTAAACTACTCATAAATAAAATAAGAATTGTTTTTATGATTATTCTGCCAGTTGAGCCTGTTAGGCTACAGTTGGCATATGAAAAGTTGTTCATGAATGAATTAGCCAAATGCTTGTCTTTGTATATGTTATGTATTCATGTTGAATTCAAAATATTTTGTTAAAAAAGCAACATCAGACACTTGTAATCTATACAATTACTGGTTCTTATATTTTACTTAAATTTTACACTTTTTAAACTTTATTTAAATGCATGTTCTATTGTTATCAAATTAACCTAATTAAAAGTTAAAAAATTAATGGTACTTCATGTACACTATGTTATAGCTAGAAAGGATTGATCTGAATATCTGTGTTTGTGGGACTCATTCTATAAAAATAGTTATTTAGACCTGGTTTTGTATAGCAATCATAACGTAAACAGATATAGAAATCTTCAATATTTACACAATGTTACTAATTTAAGAAAGTGGCTTTTCTGCGATATTGTAATGTGTCAAAATATGACAGCAGTGAACTATCGAATTTACAGCCTATATACATTCAATTGCTGGGCACAGGCCTCTTCTCATCTCTGAGAAAGTTTTAGGGTAAGAAAATGTCCGCCGATTAAAAAATTTGGGAGGTTGGATTTACGCCTGCACGTGTAAGGCCCATATAAAAAAGTAGTTAATAATTACTCTCGGGTTTAAAATTACAGTTTGATTCTATAATGACGTCTGGTGGAAAATATGTGAACTAAAACATAAAGTCTGGAATTTGTCAGCAAACGTCGAATTTACCTAGTCCTCTTTGGACAAAGACATTGTTCATAAACCATAGTATAGACCTGAGACTATAAATGTATCACATTTTATAATGATGTGGCACAAGCTTCTTTTTAAGAAAAAAAAAAGTTTCTCCATCTTGCCTATATTAGTCAAACAGCACTCTCTGAGTATGAGTTTTCTATCATATTGTATTCGTAGCGTCATCAAGTGGTTTTGTATGACAAGACAGTTCTATTAACCTATGCCAAGAGCACAATTCATTTTTCCATACAATCTAAGGAAATGTTAGTGAAATATATATATTTGAAACTTGTGCACTGACTGATTTCTTGCTGAATTTTTCGTTGATAATTTTTGAAAATTTTTAATTACAATAAAATGATATTTCTATATAGCTTGTTTCGTTTCTAAAATTCTGAATGTTCTGAGATGAAATATATAATGTTTATGACTGTTGATAATAATTTATTAAAGAACTATTAGTTAGTTGATTATTAACTTACTCTTTTAAAATAAAACTCAATATCAAAATCTATAAAAGCTTATACAAGTACAAAAGCCATTTTACATCTTTGTATATTTTAAAATTTCCATTTATCGGTCACATGTCTTACAGCATTTTTATAGATAAATGGCATAAGTGATTTGAAATACACTTAAATGTATCACGATTCAACTAAAATTGCTGAATTGTAAATATTAAGAAGTCAGACGCTGTTATATTAAACTAAAGATTTGGTGCCTACCCTTTGTCTCAATTACATAATTTTTTTTTCAGTAACAATTCATAATAATTATCATATTGTACAAAATAATTTTATGGAGTTGAAGACTGGACAGCCAAAAATTGTCAATCATATTATACTATTTTGTATTCATTGCAAAAGTTATAAATGTAAATTTGAATTGTTTCATTTGGTTTGTTGTGCATCGATATTTTAAAAATTAATAATGATATTTTAAAAAACATAGTGATTACCGTGTCTGATGTTGATTGTGTTTTATGTTAAAATTCTTTCAATATTATTTATACGTAAGATAATGATGTAATCCCTGTATGTCCGCGGGCCTTTAAAGTTGGTAATGGATAATAAGTTAGAAGCTGGTCTTCTGAAAAAAATCTTATGTTAAAATTGTTTACATAGTCCAAGGTCCCAGGGCCACCAGACGTCACTTATTTTCTGACGAACGATGATTGATGATGGTCCTGGAATCTTGCACAACACAAAATGTTGTGTTCGGTTCGAAACTAACAGATTATAATTATTTGTACACATAACATTTACGAAAGAAAATACATAACATAACATAAACACTCACGCCTGTCACCCAGAGGGGTAAGCAGAGACTACAGACTTCCATTTGGCACGATCCTGACACACCTCTCTCGCCTCCTTCACATCCATACACCTACGCATACATGCTCGTCGGTTAAGGGTACTCCTAATTTGGCCCGTTTTCAATAAATCGCCAATTTGGTCGATACATTTTCGCCTAGGACGTCCCTTTCCGACTCTGCCATTCACTTCTGCAACATAAATTTTCTTT